TTGTAATACCTATACATAGGGTTATGAAAAGTCGCCGAGATAATGGAGCATAGTTTACTTATTAAGCACTCAGAAGTTATCTATTAGCAGAAGTAAGAAGCCTTGAACAAATAATACATTCATCCTATGAGCAATCAATCGCCTCTTCCTAAAACGCCTCTATAAGACCTCACAGAGCCTGGCAGTTGTGGCTCAGTGGTTGAGCATCGACCCATGCACCAAGAGGTCCCCAGCTGGATTCCCGGTCAGGGTACATGCCCAGGTTGGGGGCCCGATCCCCAGTGGGGGCATGCAGGAGGCAGCCAATCAATGTTCTCTCTCATCCATGTTTCCATCTCTCTCTCCCTCTCCCTTTCTCTCTCTCCAAAATCAATGAAGATAAAATAATTAAAAAAAAAAAAAAAGACCTCACAGAGCCGCCCCGAAACCCACTCAGTCGCTGCTCCTCCTCATGCCCACGGCAGTCCTCGCGGAGCCCTTCCTTTGCCCAGCTTTGAAATATCTTCCCAGACTGAACTCGGGGGCACAAAGAGTTTGATTAGTTTGTAGCCGCAGTGCCCAGTGCAGGAACGAATCAGCCTTTTCAAACCTTGAATGAATACCCCACTCACTCGGTTCCTCCACCCACTATGAAAAGGCTGCGGCCCCACCGGCACAAAGTACAGGGAGCCGCAGGCCCCGCCCCGCGCCAGAAAAAGAATAGACAAGAACTCCCAGCGGCCTGCGCGGTACGTTGCTCCAATCGTCAGACGCGGCCGCAAGGGGTGGGGTCTATATATGCTCCAGCCCGGCGCCCAGTCCTCCTTTTTCTCCCGCGCAGCGTCGCAGGTAACTTGTGGAGTTCGGAGCTCGCCTGCCGCCATACACGCCTATCCTCCACCGGTCCCCCCAACCCCTGCCCTTAGTCTCTCCGCCACCAGCCCCGCACTCACCTGAGCTGCCTCCTGAGGCTGTAGGATGTTGAGTGCAGCATGGAGGAACCGGACCTCCCCACTTGCTGGGCCCGAGGTCTTTAAGAGCACGTGGGCCGCATGCGCAGGGCGAGGGGCCGGAGCCCGCGATGGCCGCGCCCTTCTCCAGCCTCGGCCTGCGCAGCTCAGCGCTCCGGTGTGACGGGTAAGTAGTGCCAGCAGGCAGCTGGTGCACGGCAGCCTTGGGCCTGAAGTGGCTTAATTTGGGGGTGGCCACTTGGTGGTGTCAGCCAGACCTTGAATCCGAGTCTGCTTTTGACAGTGCCAGCATACCTGCTGGGTGACCTTGGGCAATTGACTTCATCTTAATTAACTGGCTGCACAATATGTGTTACGGAGATCACCTAGTTGATCCAAGGTTTTCTGGAGGATAGGTTTTAGAGTTATTCAGGTGTTAAGTAGTAAATAGGATCTACAGGATGGCTGTGTTTTATTTTGAGCTCCAAAGTGATAAATTTCAGTAGTCAATGATGATACACAGGGCTTAGGTGAGTGTTAGGGCTGAGCGGCGGTTGGGGCTGTCCTGTGACACTGCCCTGTGGCCCTTATCGAAGCTGCAGCTGCTTCCACATAGCTGCTGCGGTCAAAAAGGAGCCCAGAGTGACAGTTTTCCTTGACGGTCGCCGTTCTGTTTGTTGTAACTGATCTGCAACATTTCGGGAAAAGACAGTTCCAGTCGTACGTGCTGTTTCTCAGATACAAACAACTTGGCTAAAATTGACGTTACCAGAGGTCAGCAGAAATGTTGATGGGGCATGATAATTAGTGTATGTGCCATGAGAAGAAAAGGTTGAAAATCGCTGTTGTATAGGAACTTGCATATAGGGTTAACAGAATAAGGCTTTTGAGAAGTAGGTTGTTGGGGCCAAGGTAGTATAGAGGGGCAGGTGGGAGTGGGTCATCTGTATGGGGAAATTCAATGGCTGGAAACAGATCTTGGTGATGCTTTTTGTCATTGCCCTCAAAAACTTAAGGCAGCAAGTACCAGGATCAAAGGCCAGTTAAATCTTTAAGATTCTGAAGACCAGATAAGATCATTCAGGACAATTGTGTTCTCATCTTAGCTGTGCCAGATGAAGACTGCAGGATGGCTCAAGTTGCTTTCTGGTGAGTGAGGACTCTGGAGTCATGACAGTGATAGAACACAACCACCTCAGGTCCTGGTAGGTTTCTTTTGGGGACTTAATTTGGGACTAACTGGTGGGTCAGTACAGCATGTTTCCAAGGGCTGTGGCTGGTTGTAGCCATGGGATCTCCAACTGCATGCCAGAACAACCTGGAAAGACTTTGACAGCTCAGGTCAGCCTAATACCTGCAGCTGCCACTCGCCTTTCCTATAATATCTCAGGATCTGGGCTTGGGAGCTTTCCACTCCAGTCGTTCCCATCAAATTCCACGCAGATGGATGTACTGGATCAACTTACTGGTTTAGAGCTTTCACACTTTTTTCCTGCAGGTTGCCTCCATGTTTCCTGGGAAAGCTGAGGAATTCCAGCTTGTTGCTGTCCCTGTGCTTTAGAATCAGGTAAAATTAGATGTTGAAGACAACCTGACCCTCCAGTTCCCTTTCCCATCGGATCTGAACACCGGTCTTGGTGGTCGTAAAAGGAGGAAAAGTAATACTGAAGCTGGCCTCACAGTGCTTGTGCTCTGCTCTATAGCAAGTGGGCTAGTTTCAAACAATGTTGAATTTTCTGAACTTGTTTCCTCCTCCCCTGTAAAATGAGATAAAGGGAGGAAGGACGTATGTGAATCTCTGGACAGTTGGTGTTGTAGTGGTTGCTAGTATTTGTTTTGGAAGGGATTTATTAATGGTTTTCTTGCCTCTTGATTGAGAATGTCCTTTTTTTATAGATCTGTTACCAATAAGCTGTCTTTATCTGTTATTAAGGATCTACAGAATTTGGTAAGTTAAATAACTGCCTGATATCATTTACATGTGGTCTGCCTTGTGTGCTGTATTTGTTAGCTGCTGATGACCAGAAAACAAAAATAAATGTTTACAGTATGATTTGGTCTATTGGGTTTGCCCATCCTAAAGTCCAAGCACATGTTCTGCTGTGAGAGTAGAATGTAGCAGAGGGGAGAGTGGGAGATGGATTTGTAGAAACAAGTAGTACCATCTAGCTTGGGATTTGTTTTTTTTAGGCTGACTGGTCTGGGATGAAACCTAATCTGAGTGGACATCTATGGATGATAAATGCGGATATGGGACTGAGACCAGCTCTTAGGAAAGTATTGGGTAGCATTGATTAATTGGGGCAATACTAACACACTGGCTTATACTTCCTTTTCAGGAGAAGCTATATGGGAAGAGGCAAGTTAAAAGACAAGATTTGTGGAGAGACTGACTGTTCCTTGAGCTAGATCCAGGCCAGAACAGAGTAAATCCCCTCAGACCCTTCCCCCATGCTCCATGGCCTGCTGGTTCTTGAAACAGGACTTCGCCCCCACCCCTTATTTGGGGCTGGTCTCCAGTCCATCCTGCCCTGCGGCATGGAGGATTATCCTGTGTGCTAAATTCCCTTAATAAACTCTTGATAAAATGAAGTTGTCAGCCTCTTTTTTTTCCAAGCTCAGTCCCAGGAAATTTTCCCAGTAGGTGATTTTAGGTGGAAACAATGTCCTTGGTCATTTGCAAATGCTGGTTGGTGCCTGGCATATAAGTAACCAAAGAGCCTCTAGAAATAAGTTTTTTTTATGTTCCTCACATGATTGTTTTTTCCCTATCTAAATACTTCATAGACACAAACTAAATCAAAGACTCAAGCTCTTCATAAAGTCTGACCTTGCCCTGGCTAGTTTGGTTCAGTCAGAGCATCAGCCCAAGGACCAAAGGGTCTTGGGTTCAATTTCCAGTCAAGGGCACATACCTGGGTTGCAGGGTCCATCCCTAGCCCTGGTCAGGGTCATGCAGGATTTCTCACGCTACCCCCTTCCACTCTAAAAATCGATGGAAAAAATGTCCTAGGGTAAGGTTTAACAAAAGTCTGAACTCAGAAAGGACATGGTCAGTTCCATAACTGCAATTAGATGTATTTCTCCTTTGTTGAGCCTAAGGTTCTATCTTGGAAGGCTTTTTGTGGTATAGGCACCTTAATTCAAGTTATATCTCCCCTGCCACCCCCCAAATTCCTCTGGCACAAAATTAAAGTACAATTTCTAGCATAGACCTAGACTTTTCAAGAGGGTCCTGGGTACTGGAGATTGCAATATATCTTGGAAGTGGGCTTTCCTGATTTGTTCAGAAGTAATGGGGAGGTTAGCAATACACACGGTAGTTTTTACTAGTGACCAGACTTCAAGCAAATACTGGAGGGAAGGGAGTGTTTGGGTGGCAGGTGGAAATTGCTCATTTGACAAAGCAGGTAATCCATATATTCTGATCCCAAAGGACTTTTTTTTCCTTTTGTTGCTCATGCTTTGGACCATATCTAAAAATCCTTTGCCAAATTTAAGATTAAATTGTACCCCTATGTTTTCTTCTAAGAATTTTATAGTTTACTTCTTGCATTTAGGTCTTTGATGTTTTTTTTGTTTGTTTGTTTTTTTTAAAGGTACGTGCCCCTAGCGGAAACCGAACCCAGGACACGCTGGTCCACAGGCCGGCCAATGCTCCAACCGCAGAGCCAAACCATCCAGGGCTGATCCCAAAGAACCTTAAGGACTTAGGTGCCTGTCACCTGAGAAGGGTCCCTGGCTTCTCAGGTGACAGGCGAAGTAATTCTATTTTGGTTAATAATTCCAGCTCTGACCAGTGTGGCCTAGTTGGTTGAGCATTGTCCTGTGTAGGGAAAGGTTGCCAATTTGATTCCCAATCAGGGCACATGGCCAGGTTGTGGGTTCGGTCCCAGTCCGGTTCGTACAGAAGGCAACCAACTGATGTTTCTCCCTCTAAAATCAATTAAATATTTTAAGCCTGGATGGTGTGGCTCAGTGGATTGAGGGTTGTTCCAGGGACTGAGAGGTCCTGGTTTCATTCCCAGTCAGGGCATGTGCCTCGGTTACAGGCTCAATCCCCAGTATGGGGTGTGCAGGAGGAAGCTGATCATTGTTTCTCTCCCTCTAAATGAATAAAATTTAAAAATTCCAAGCTGCCCTTATTGCAGGAGTACGGATACTGGATAAATGCTTATTCTTCAAAGAACCCTCTTCAACAGTTGATCCCTTAGTTTTAAAACTCAAATGGCTATATCAAAGGTAGCAGTATTGCAGTAATCATAATTTCAGGAAACTTGATAATTAAAATCTTACAAAACATTTCCAAAAAGGTAAAAGTTCTTGAATTGTTTTTAAAGGAGTCTCTTATCCTCCTCACACAGTCCATGCTGGCTTGTCCTTTGTCCTGACTACATCACAGCAGGGATCTCTGAAGACACTGTGTCCAGGGGCTGCCAGTGACAATCCATCAGTGCATCATACAGCTCCTCACTCTGCTCCATGAACTCCTTGTTGGCCTCAGTCACATCCAGCTGTGGCATGGGGTCTGGAACAGAACCAAGGATGCGTTTAGCCTTGGATTTTCTGGTGGGGTTATTACAATTTTGGGCTTGGAACATTTTATCCAAATTACTAAATCCAAAGCACTAGAAGCACTAGTCTTAGAAGAGAATGAGTATTACATAGCACTGAAAATGAACCTCACTCTAGTCTGTGTGACTCAGTTGGTTGAGCATCGTCCCATGCACTGAAAGGTTGTGGTTTGATTCCTGGTCAGGGCACATGCCCGAGGTTTCAGGCTTGATCCCCAGTGGTGGTGGTGGTGGTGGGGGGGGCTGTGCGCAGGAAGCAGCCAATCAATGTTTTTCTCTCACACCAATGTTTCTATCTCTAAAAAATCAATTAAAAAATATTTTTAAAAAGAAAATGAATCTCAGTTGCACAAAATCTGAATCTCAAATTGCATGAGTGTTGAAGACAATACATTCAGTATGACTGCATTATATGAAGGCCAAAAATAGGCAAAACAAAGCAATATTGTTTAGGGATATATATCTAGGTGATAAAACTATAAAGCAAAGGAAGAAAATGGTTACCACAAGAAGTTGTGAGTTGTGACTGGGGGAAGGATGGCTTCTGGAGGCTGGCGATATTCTACTTGACCTGAATGAATGCAGGTCTCATGGGCAATTGCTTTATAATTACATGTTAAACTATACATTTGCTTTATGTACTTTTCTATGTACAGTATGTATTTCACAATAAAAGTTAAAAAAAAACTTAATCACTATGACCAACAACATTTTATACTTTTAGTTTTGTGTTGATTTATTTTTTTAAATTGTTTTTATTGAATTTTTAGAGAAAGAGGAAGGGAGAGATAGAAACATCAACGTGAGAGAGAAACATCAACTAGCCCTTCGATCTGCTGGCAGATGCTCCAACGGCTGAACCAAACCTGCCAGGGCTATGAGTACAGTTTATATCAGTGGTCAAACTCTCTTTACTAAATGGTCAAATTATAACTATTATTCTTTTGTTCTTTTTTTTTTTTTTTATCCTCACCCGAGGACATTTTTCCTTTTTTTTTTTTTTTTGTGCAGATAGAGTGGGAGGGAGAGAGAGAAGAGAGAGCGAAACATCAATGTGAAAGGGACACATTGAGTGGCTGCCACCTGCACAACCCAACCGGAGCCAGGGACAAACTGCAACTGAGGTATGTGCCCCTAGCGTGAACTGAACCCGGGTCTTTCTGGACCGCAGGCCGATGCTCAAACCGCTGAGCCAAACTGGCCAGGGCTCCATTGATTTTTAGATAGAATGAAAGGGAAGAAGGGAGAGAGAAACATTGATGTGAGAGACACATCAATTGGTTGCCTCCTACATGACCCTGACTGGGGCTGGAGATCAAACCTGCATCCCAGGTATGTGCCCTTGACCAGGAATTGAACCCGAGACCCTTTGCTCTGTGAGCCGACGCTCTAACCACTGAACCAAACAAGCCAGGGCATAAAAATCCTTTTAATTAAACAAAATTAATAATTACTATGAAGCAGGATTAGTTATGTCATAATACTCTACTAATTTTCCGAACTTTCAATCATAACTATTACTCAAAAACGAGAAAAAAACATGCATTTTATATAGAAAAAATTAAATCAAAATCAAAAGTGATTTTTACAAATTGTCAAACAAATACAAGGCAATAGTATTTTTGCTGAAACCTACATCCCAGGTAGAATGCCACTCATCTAGGGAGTGACTGGTTACCTCCCTCAGTACAAAGCTGCTTCCCCCTGTGCTCTCTGGGATCTGCACTCACATCTCTGGGTGACACACACACTTTCTTTTTTTATAGTAAATTTTTTTTTTGATTGATTGATTTAATTTGGAGAGAGGAAGTGGGGGAGAGAGTGAGAGAGAGAGAGAGAGAGAGAGACATAGATTTATTATTCCACTTACTTATGCATTCACTGGTTGATTCTTATACATGCCTTGACCAGGGATCAAACCCACAACCTTGATGTATTGGGATGACACTCTAACCAACTAAGCTTCCTGTCCAGGGCCAACACACATACTTCTTACTGTAATTATGTATGCACTGGCTCTCTCATTAGAATGTAAGTTCCTCCAGGCAGAAGTCACCATGCATTCCTTCAGCATCTAGCTGAAAATAAAGTGCCATCCACAAAACAATCACTGCATAATGGCGGACAGAGCAAATGAGTGATGGACTTCATTCTTACCTTCCAATGCATCATCTCCAACTTCTTCATATGTCTGTCAAGAAACCAGAGAGGTGAGTGAGAAGGATGGTAAAATCCTGGTCCATGACAAAGATGGCTTATATTTTTTAAATATATTTTAATTTATTTTTTAGAGAGAGAGGGAGAGAGAGAGAGATAGAAACAACAATGCGTCTCACATCGATCGGCTGCCTCTTGCACGGCCCCTACTGGGAATGGAGCTCACAACCTGGGCATGTGCCCTGACCGGGAATCGAACCAGGACCTCTCAGTCCATGGGACAACACTCAATCCACGGAGCCACACCAACTGGGCAAGATGGCTTATTTTTAACAAGAGGGCCTAGGTTGTTTCATCATTTCCCATTTTTTCGGAAGCTCACATTCCCGCCCTTATCAATCCCATCCTGGATAATGACCCATGTGTCTAAAGGATAATATAACCCAAGAGAACAGACTTGCCAAATCACGGTTACCTGCATGGTGCTCTGGGTATAGCCATACTGGGGATAGCTGTAGCTGTAGCTGCCTGTGTTCTGGTCATAGCCCCATTGGGCATAGTAGTTCTGGTACTGCTGGTAATACTGGTTGTAACTGTAACTGTACATCTGGCTATATTCCACTGGCTTCACACGACTCCTTAAATGAAGAAAGAACCAAAAATAAATACATGTGAGGAAAACATTTCTAAAACACTTATTAACTGAACAGGGACTTTTTTTAAGTGCTTTATACAAATTAACTTCATTTAATCCCTACAACAATCCCTTGCAATAAGTATACATTATTCCTATTTTACAGATGAAGAAATTGAGGTAAAGAGAGGTTATATAATTTGTCCCATTATACAGATAAGACTACTGGAGTGTCTGAAAGGTTAAATGATTTACCTAAGACCACACCTATGACTAGAGCCAAACGTAACTCCAAGGCTCATGTTAATACCACACCATTACATACAGCACCTGGCCTGACAGACCCAAGTCATGTTGCTAGTCTCCTACTTCCTGCATTTACCAATCAGGGCTGAGGCCCAGGGTCAGGGTCAGCGGAAAGCTTTCTTATCCTGATTGCACAGCTGCCCCAGCTGCTAACCAAAGACAACGTCAAGTCTGCGAAGGAGCCACTGCTCTCAAGAACATAAAAAAGTACTTGTGAGTAGGCTTTTGAAACAGGCCTGGAGTATGACCAGCAGTCCAGCTGACAGGAATCAAAGAACATAAAAGGTGACAAAGCTCTTCCAGAGCCACCGTAGTCCGACAGGCCAGAGTCTATTTCAAGTGCACACCAAACATGTGCAGGAGGCAGAGGCTGACACCGCCATGCCAGCTGGTTTATAAAGAGAATCATAACAGTCACACAGTGTGGGACACACTACATCCTCATGATTGGTGCATTCTATCTCTGCAGCGAAACCAAAGAGGAAACCAAGTCATAAGCCAGAGTTGAACTACCATAGAAATACCCATCATGGGAACCATAAAATGCTCAAAGTATGAGTGAGCTCTTCCCAAGTTCCTTGCGAGTGTAATGTCCTGCTTGGTGAGTAGGAGTCAGCCAAAGCAGTTTGACAGATTCCACATCTGACCACCTCCTGATGGAGTGGCTAAATGATGTAAAAAAACATGGACTCCCTCTCCCTGCCCAGCACCAGGCTGAAAACTGACAATATTTTGCCTCCATGACTCCCCTTCCAAGGATGTTTCCAAGGGTGTCCATCACCCTCCTGCCATGTTCAGGTAATCAGAGGTACAGTCTCCTGGCCTGGATCTGCACACTCCTGTTCTGTATCTCCACACTCAGCTCTTACAGTCTAGCTCTCAAAGGGAACTCTTATTTCCCTCAAATCCTAGTGCTTGAAGACATCTCCCCAGAAGCAAGCACCAAATACTGACAATATTCAAGGAAGAACTAGATATATAACAGAATATAACCTCTTTGCAGAAGGGATTTTGTCAGAATATACAATCAAAAGAATAACCTGCAGCTGTTAAAAATGTAATGATAATGATTGTGCAACTATATGGAACAGTGAGTGTGTACACTGAGTAAACTGGGGGAAAAGAGCATTATTTATTTATAAAATGAATAAAGATATAAATCTACAACATATAAACTGACCCATATGTAGTGTGTGTATATATATATGGTATATGTATATCTATGTATCATGGATAACTTTGGAGAAGCCTGGAAACAAACTCACAAATTATAATTAGTCATTTTAGGGTAATGAGGAAATTTCTTTGTTTTAATTTTTTTTTTTTATCCTCACCCGAGGATATTTTTCCATTTTTTTGTACAGATAGAGTGGGAGGGAGAGAGAGACAGAAACATCGACGTGAAGGGACACATCGAGTGGCTGCCACCCACACGACCAACCAGGGCCGGGGACAACTGCAACCGAAGTACATGCCCTTAGCGGGAGCCGAACCCGGGTCTCTCTGGACCGCAGGTCGACGCTCTAACCGCTGAGCCAAACCGGCCAGGGCTGTTTTAAATAGTTTCTTTAATATTCTTATATATATAATAGAACTTAGGAAAAACAACACTTTGGGGGAGAAATCACTCAGGCTGAACTTCTATGTATTAAAAACAGTTAAACCAGCCCAGCTAGCATGGCTCAGTGGTTGAGCACTGACCCATGCACCAAGAGGTCGCCAGTTCAATTACTGATCAGGGCACATGCCCAGGTTGTGGACCTGATCCCCAGTGGGGGGCATGTAGGAGGCGGTCAATCGATGTTCTCTCTCATCGCGATGTTTCCCTCCATCTCTATAAAAATCAATAAAGAAAAAAAAAATATATATATATGGCCATATGGGACCTGGCCCATGTGGTTCAGTTGGTTGAACGTAGTCCCATGCATTTAAAGGTCGCTGGTTCAATTCCGGAGGCAGTAGATCGATGTTTCTCTCCCTGCCCCAACCCTCTAAAAATCAATAAAAACGTATTTTTATTTTTATTTTTTTTAAATTCATTTATTTTTTCTTTTATTGACTTTAGAGAGAGAGGAAGTCAGAGGGCAAGAGAGATAGAAACATCGATGAGAGAGAACATCGACTGACTGCCTCCTACATGCTTTCCACTGGGGATCGGGCCCACAACATGGCATGTGTCCCCACTAGAAATTGAACTGGTGACCTCTTGATGCAAGGGTCGACGTTCAACCACTGAACCACACCAGCAAGACCATATATTTTTTTAAATGGCCATTTGGAAGTCCGGCCCTAAGAATGCAGTCAATCTCATACTTTTGGCATAGAGTTTCTCAGTCTTGACATTATTTACTTTTGGCGGAAGGAGGCGAGCTGACAAATATTTGTTGTAGGGGGTGTCCTGTGCATTGTCCGATGTCTAGCAGCATCTCTGACATATACTCATTAGATGTCAGCAGCACCTTCCCCCACCAAGTTGTAACAACCAACATTGTCTCTAAATGTTGCCAATGGCCCCCAGGGAACAAAAACTGCCCCTCATTGAGAACTACTGCTTTAGCCAAAGGATGGAAGATTCTATACAGAGAAAAGTTGTCTTACATCTGAGTGAGAAACTGCTTGCAGTTGTTTTCTGCCTAGCATGATAGGTACCATAGTGATGTATACACTATTCTGTAGAGCATCTGGATCATTAATTCTTAGCCATTCCGTAGCATGGGACAGTCACAGGTTTGTAAGTTTCATCGATATAAATAAGGTTAAAGTTGGGTGTAATTTTTTCCTTCAGCTCAATTCTTTTTTTTAAATTACTTTTTTACCCTCACCTTAGGACATTTTTCGTTCAGATAGAGTGGGAAGAAGAAACAGAGAGAAACATTGGCGTGAAAGGTACACATCCAGTGGCTGCCTTCCACATGACCCAACCAGGGCCAGGGACTCACCACAACCAAAGTACGTGCCCTTAGTGGAAACCGAACTCAGGTCTCTCTGGACCGCAGGCTGACGCTCTAACTGCTGAGCCAAACCGGCCAGGGCCTTCAGCTCAATTCTTTTTTTAAATCCTCACCCAAGGACATTTTTCCATTTTTTGTTCAGATAGAGTGGGAGGGGGAGAGAGAGAGAGAGAGAGAGAAACATCGACGTGAAAGGTCGAGTGGCTGCCACCCACATGACCCAACCAGGGCCCAGAACAAACTGCAACTGAGGTACGTGCCCTTAGTGGGAACCAAACCCAGGTCTCTCTGGATCACAGGCCGACGCTCTAACCGCTGAGCCAAACCAGCCAGGGCTCAGCTCAATTCTTATTAATCCTCTGGATAAATGTCAAACAGTGGCACTACTGGGCAAAGAGCAGGGCATCATGTGTTGCCAAACTGTTTTTCCATCACAGCTATCTATCAGCAACGCCTGAATGTATCTGTCTTCCCCAGTCATAGCTCTCTCCCCAACCATAAACTTCTGGAGGGGCAGGGTTATGCTTGTTCATCTCCAACACCCAGCAAACAGCCTGGCAAACATCAGGCATTCCTTTTTTGTGAGCTGAACTGAATCTCCCTGTAGCCTCCCATCCAGCAAGTGGATGCTCTGATTATCAACAAAGGTGAGGAGCGTCCAGGTGGGGGTCAGTCCAGAGGCCCTCTACATTCCCTGCCAGCACAAGACTCACGCTTTAGGGATTGCCACACTCAGCCGCACTGGTTTAGACCCCAGTCCTACTGCTCCCTGGCACTCTGTCAGGGCTCGCTTCTGTTCCAGTTCATCTGTGAATTTCACAAAACCATAGCCCCTGCAGGAAAAACACACACACACACACAATATATATAGATCACAAATGGGATAAATGTAAAGTCTAAGAATGGAAAAGGGACTAAAAGGGATAAAGAGAGTCCATCAAACTATGTGGGCAGGGATGAGCCCCATCGGGCAGGTATGCCGCAGTGCAATGAGAGATTCAAGCACTGGAGGATCCCGAGATCTGTGGGAATCCCCACTTTCAGTTCACCATTTTCTCTATACCTTCACTGATGGGTTCCTGCCCAAATAGTAGCTTCCCTCCCAAACTACTTGGAAGTATTATTATCATTGTGGTAACAGCAGTAGTAATAGTTATAAAAGCTCCTTCAGCAAATATTTACTGAGTCACCCTGTTCAGCGTGGTTCAGTTGGTTGGAACATCATCCGGTACACTAAAAGGTGGTGGGATTCGATTCCCGGTCAGGACACATACCTAGCTTGTAGGTTCGATCCTTGGTCATGTGCAGGAGGCGACTGATCGATGTTTCTCTCTCTCTCCCTCCCCCTTCCTCTCTCTAAAAATCAATGAAAACAAAAAGGTAATACATATTAAAATATATATATATATATATATATTTACTGAGTCTTCCTGTAGGCAATGGGACTCGGCAGTCATAAGCAGACAAGGTTCTTGATCTCCTGAACTCATATTCTAATTGGGGGAATAAATGAATGATAGCTAACATTTAATGAGCACTTCCTATTTCCCAGACACTGTGTTGAGCATTTTTCCAGGGTTATCTCATTGAATGGTCCAACAATTTGATGTAGTATTCACATTTTACTGAAGAGGGAACTAAAGTTCAGAGAGGTTTACTAATGAAGTTAGTTAGAGGTTTGCATGAAGTTATAGTAGAAGCAGAATTCAAATCCAGGTCTGTTAGACTCCCCCCAAAAAGAACCTTTTTAGAGGTTTTCCCAGTTTTGAAGTAACAATAATAAATAAAATAGTAAACATCTATAAAGCATTTCGTATTACATTTAATCTTACATCGCCCCTGTGAGCAGATGCTATGAATCAGTCCTGTTTCACAAGTGAGGAAACATGGTCAGAGCTTCAGTAACTTGTATCCTGCACTATCCCTGGCCAGTGTTAGAGCCAGGATTCAACCCATGCAGTTTGGCTCCAGACCCATGCTCTCTTTTTGTTATTGTTAATCCTCACCTGAGAATATTTTCCCACCGATTTCTAGATACAGTGGAAAGGAAGGAGGGAGAGAGAGAGAGAAACATTGATGTGAGAGAGTAACGTCAAATGGTTGCCTCCCACAGGACCCCGACAGGGGCTAGAGTTCAAAGCAACCCAGGTACGTGTCCTTGACCAGGAATCAAACCTGAGACCACTCATTCCTCAGGCTGATGCTCTAACCACTGAGCAAAACTGACCAGGGCAAGAACCTGTGCTCTTAACTACCACACTACATGTCCTGTCTGTAATACCTCAAACTATGAGAAAAATGCTGAAACTAACAGGGTAGGCATCAATAACAGGTAAGGCCTTACTTAGACACGCCTGTCTGGTCCAAAACCACCTTGCCTCCCCGACAGGAGGGGTAGACTTTGACGAAGAATTCATACAGCATGCCATCATCCACATCTGGGGTCAGGTCCCCCACAAAGAGGGAGTACTCAGGGCTGAGAGGAGAGAATAAGATTCAGAGACAAAGACCTTTGTTCTGATGAGCACTGTTGACTCATTCTAGGTAAATCTTTTCTGGGCCTTCTTAGTGAATGATCAGGTCCTAATTTGTTTCATTTGGCAGTCCTGGCAGGCGAGGTATAGAAGTAGTCCCCTGCCTTACCCAAGTCCTTCATCCACTGCACAAAGCCTGTCTGGCTTCAAGGATTACATAAGTGCAGATGGGGGTCAAGGTCAGAGTTACGCTAAAGATCAAAATAGATGTTTTGTAGTCACTGCATATTTCTAATTTAAACGGAAAAAGATAGAGAGAATAACGACTGGACTATCTACTAAAGATGTAAAACCTAACTTAAATGCAATACCCCAAATTTTAGAACAGGGGTCATCAAACTTTTTCTGCAAAGGGCCAGGGCACCTATGGTCTCTGTAACTTTTCTTTGTTTTCACATTCCTTTAAAAATGTAAAAACCATTTTTAGTTTGCAGGTGATACAAAGCAGGCCATAGTTTGCCAGCCCCTGATCTAAAACAATTCTACGAAACAAAAACAAGCGAAGCCATTATTTTCTTATTTCAAGTATGATACATTTTCCTTGTGTAAAATTAGAATACACTAAAGGACAAAGAAAAATAAAATTACCAATAACTCACCACTTAAAGGTAATCAATGAACATTTTGATATATACTCTTTTCCCCCTTTGGCTTCTTCTTTTGAATTTACAAAAGTTGGATATGATTGTTTAGTTTTTAGCATTTTTTCACTTCTAACATAGCCAACATCTTGACATGTTACTAATTCTGCTATAACATGACTTATTAATTGATACATCACATTCCTATTAATGAACATATTATAATTTAAACCACTTCCCTATTATTAGATTATTTGGTTTCCCGCCAATTTTTCCCACTATACATAATATTTCAATTAACACCTTAGAGGCTAATCTTACCCACATCATGAATAAATTCTGAAAAGCAGAATTAAAGGGTCAGTGGGTAAAATCTTTCAAAAGCTTTTGATACATTGTTTTAAAGTTTTCAAACAGCAACTTGAAATGCTGAATATCAAATTATATTGCTACAACAGGTCAATTATTATGGAATAAAACCTCAACATTGTGAGGAGTAAAGCTAAGAAATGAAACATAGAGAAGAAATGGGCCTCAACATGAAGCATAATGGGAAGGGGTCATCCTTCAGGCAGAATGCAAAGTAGAGCCAAAATCAACCCCCTACCCTCCTCATTGGTAGCGATGCACAATGATGCATCTCTTGTCTCTCTCTAGACACTTTCTGGGTCTTGAAGCTACCTTGGGGCTACTCCATACTTACCTGTTATCTGGTTGTTTCCCATAAGTGGCATAGTTCAGTTTAAAACGTTTTGCCTGGAAATTTAAAAACAAATAAACTAAAACAGAGAAAGGTGTTGTAAGAGTCAAACAATATTTGAAAAAAACTGAAATAAATTACCTTGGCCAAAACATCTCCCCCTCTCTAAGCCTCAGCTTTTTCTCCTGTATAAAATGAGGGGGTTGCACGGATGACCGCTAAGGGCACTGCCAGCTCCATGGTTCTATGAGCCCCGTGTGCCAGCTTGGTGCAGCTGTAAGCTAAGTAACTGTGGGAAGAGCAGAATGTAACTCTCTTGAAATGTGTCCTCACTACTACCAGCCTGTTCTACTTTCTCAATCAGGCAAGAGGTATGATTTCAAGTCTTCCATTAAGGGAAGCAGAGGTGCAGAGTGGAAAGGGCATGGACTTCAGGGTCAACCAATCTTCATTTTGCATCCTGGCTTTGACACTACCTGTTTTGCCTTGGGGAAGTTATTCCACTTCCCTGAGCTTCAGTTTTCTCTGTCAAAAATAACAACATCTACTCTTCAAGGTTGTTACAGAATTAAATAAAATGACATAAATATAGAGTAGGGATTCAATAAATAATAGTTACTGATTGACAATAAAAATGGCAACATTATCATTATCTAAGTGTCCTTACAGGTGTGGCTCCTGGAAGAGGTTTCCCATTAATTTTATGCAAACACTTCTCCGCTGTGGCCAAATCTGCGAATTCTACAAAACAGTAGCCAGCTGGGATCCTAGAAACAAAAAAAAAAAAACAGAGAAAGATAATGTTTAAAATTCGGTTTCCAGATGAGAGACTGAGTCTTAGCCTGAAGGGAGGGAAAAGCAAGAGCCCATACTGTTTTTGTTCCCTGCTAAATCCTAGTTCAGATCTAGCCCTGGCCGGTTTGGTTCAGCGGTTAGAGCATCGGCCTTCGGTCCAGAGAGACCCGTTTCGCAGCGTGTACCTCGGCTGCGGTTTGTCCCCGGCCCTGGTTGGTCGTGTGGGTGGCAGCCACTCGATGTGTACCTTTCACATCGATGTTTCTCTCTTTCTCTCTATCTTCCTCTCTCTCCCTCCCACTCTATCTGAACAAAAACTGGAAAAATGTCCTCAGGCGAGGATCAAAACAAAACAAAACAAAACCGAATTCAGATCTAACTTACAAATATAAGACCTGCCAATCTGGGCAAGTCCCAGAATTAGTAAACATTTATGTACTGTTTTACCTAGAAAGCATTTCCGCCAAAAATATTTAATACAATCCCATCAACCCTTTAGTTTACAAGAAATATTCGGGCCAGAACAAGTAAAACACCACCACAAGGAAATAAATAAATCCAAAATAGAAGACCAGAATCCAGAATGTAAGACAACTAGTTTTACCTCTTTAAAAAGTTGATGTTTGTGAAAAAAGACAGAGGTGGGCTTTTCTACACTAAAGAGATGATAGACTAAAAAACTAAATGCAGTGCAGGATCTGATCTCTGATTGGATCCCAATTCATTAAAAAATAAACCAGCCCTGCCAGTGTGGCTCAGTAGATTGAATCCCCCCTGGACTGAGAGGTCCCAGTTCAATTTCCCCGTCTGGACACATGCATTTCAGGCTTGATCCCCAGTAGGGGGTGTGCAGGAGGCGATGATCGACATTTCTCTCTCACGTGGATGTTTCTCTCTCTTCCTTTCTCTTTCTTTCTTTTTTTTTAATTGTCCCTGGACATTTTTGCATTTATCTTCAGATAGAACGAGAGGGAGAGAGAGAGGAAGAGAGAGAGAAACATCCACGTGAGAGAGACACAAAAAGTGGTCACCACCCACACGACCCCAACCAGGGCCAGGGACAAACTGCAACCAGGTACAAGCCCTTAGCAGGACCCGAACCCGGGACTCTCTGGTCCGCAGGCTGATGCTCTAACCGCTGAGCCAAACTGGCCAGGGCCCTTCCTCTTTCTCTAAAAAAATCAATAAAGCCCTGGCCAGTTTGGCTCAGCAGTTAGAGTGTCGGCCCGCAGACCAGAGAGTCCCAGGTTCGGTTCCCACTAGGGGTGTGTACCTCGGTTGCAGTTTGTCCCCAGCCCCATGGGGTTGTGTGGGTGGCAGCCAGTCGATGTGCCTCTCTCACATCGATGTTTCTGTCTCTTCCTCCCTCTCTCCCTCCCACTCTATCTGAAGATAAATGCAAAAATGTCCTCAGGTGAGGATAAAAAAATAAAAATACAAAATCGATAAAAACATTAAAAAAACAAAAAGCTATAAAAAATAGTCTAGGGACAATTATAAAAACTTTAAGATTGGCGGGTGGCAGCCACTCGATGTGTCCCTTCACATCGATGTTTCTCTCTCTCTCCCTTCCTCTCTCTCCCTCCTGCTCTATCTGAACAAAAAATGGAAAAATGTCCTCGGGTAAGGATTAAAAAAAAAAAAAACCAAAAAAACTTTAAGATTGGCTATTATATGGTATATCATTGTTAATTTTGTTACTCTGATATGAGCACTGTGGTTATATAAGAGAATATCCAGTTTTGGGCAGTGAAATATATACTTAAATATTTAGAAGTGAAGTGTCACAACGCCTGTAATTTACTTTCAAATGGTTTAGCAGGAAGAAATCATCGATCTAGCCCAGCTGGTGTGGCTCAGTGGTTGCGCGTCGACCCATGCACCAAGAGGTCGCTGGTTAGATTCCCAGTCAGGGCACATGCCCATGTTATGGGCCTGATCCCCAGTAAGGGGCATGCAGGAGGCAACCAATCGATGTTCTCTCTCATCAATATTTCTATCTCTCTCTCCCTCTCTCTTCCTCTCTGTCTAAAAATCAATAAGAAAAAAAAAAAGAAAAAAATCATCTATCTATATCTATCTTTCTAAAGATAGATACATTTAGAAATTCCAAAATGGCGGCAGAGTGAATGGAAGCTACACAGACGTTCTCCCAGGACCAAACTGGAATTACAACTAAAATAAAGACAAATCATCAGGAAAAAGCAACAGTAAAGCAGCTGGAGAGGACCATATAACCAGGGACATTGAATCGAACTTGGTAGGTCTGCAGAGGCGCGAGAAGGTGGGCTGGGAGCCCACAGACAGCAGCGGTTTTAGCTGTGAGCAGCTCCCTCGGGGTTAAAATCCCAAGCCAGCTCCACAGCACAGACGGTTGGGACAGAGCACTAAATTAGCTACAGCCACTCACCTTGGGCTCCAGCAAAGGGAGGGTGGACTGGACTGGAACTGTGTGGGGACACCTGGGATATGGAGGGCATTCAGAATTTTTGCTGAAATGTGGCCACACAGGGTGGCCTTGATCCCTTCCGGAGCTCTGGGGAGAAGCAGCAGCGCTTCCCTCGGAGATTTAACCCCATCCAGCTGGGCCAAGAAATGCAAATTGAGGCTCATTAACAACCAGCACTGCTCCATCCTCTGGAAATCCTCTTATGCTGAACACTTGAGGGAGTTGTTTTATTCAGCTGAGGGCTACAACCCAAAGCTCATCAAGTAACTGGGACTAATAGCCTCAGGCAAAATGCTAGAGGATAACTGAACCTTTCCTGGGCTTGCAAATCTACCCATGGAAGTAAGACCTGACAGTGGTGTGTAACGTGGGTCCTCCAACACTCATCCAAACCGAGTAGAGGGAGACACAAATAGCAGAACACCAACACCCACAGGAAAAATTTGACAGGCTCCAAAACCCACTGAGATGGACAAAATGGCGACACAAAGAAACAAATCCCAAATGAAAGAACAAGAGAATTCTACTGAAGATGAGATAAATGAAATGCAGTTAAGCAAGTTATCAGAGGTAGAGTTCAGGGCCATGATCTTGAGAAAGCTCAACAGCATGAGTAAAGATATAGAAACACTGAAAACCAACCAAGTGGAAATGAAGAATGACATAGCATAAATAAAGAACACATTGGAAGGAATAACCAGCAGAGTAGACAAAGCTGAGGAGCAGATCAGTGAATTAGAAAACAGGGTAAAAAAAAATCAACCAATCAAAACCAAAAGGAAAAAACAATTAAAAAACAGGAAGACAGCTTAAGAGAACTGTGGGACAACTGGAAACGTAATAATATTCGCATCATAGGGGTCCCTGAAGAAGAAAATGTGCAAGGGTTAGAAAATATATTTGAAGAAACAGTGACAGAAAACTTCCCTAACTTGGTGAAGGAGAAGAGGCATTCAAGTTCAAGAAGCACAGAGAGCCTCAAGTAAGAAGAACCCAAACAGGCCCACACCAAGACACATAGTAATTAAAATGCCAAAAATTAAAGACAAAGAGAATCCTAAAGGCAGCAAGAGATAAGCTAATGGGTTACCTACAAAGGCACCCCCATAAAGCTATCATCTGACTTCTCAACAGAAACACTAAAGGCCAGAAGGGAATGGCATGAAGTAATCAAGGTCATGAAAAACAAGGATCTGAATCCAATCCTACCCAGCAAGGCTATCATTCAAAACAGAAGGTCAAAAAAAGAGCTTCCCAGACAAAAAAAAAGCTAAGGGAATATATTAGCACTAAACCAGCACTGTAAGAAATGTTAAAAGGACTGCTGTAATTATTAGAAGAAACAGGAAGAAAAATATAACCACACTAAACAAAAATGGCATTATATAATTACATATCAATAATCACCTTAAATGTAAATAAATTGAATGCTCCAATAAAAAGACACAGAATAGCTGATTGGATAAGAAAGCAACTCATATACCCTGGCCGGTTTGGTTCAGTGATTAGAGCGTCAGCCTGCAGTCCAGAGAGACCCCGGTTCGGTTCCCTCTAAGGGCATGTACCTCGGTTGCAGTATCTCTCTGGCCCTGGTTGGTCGCGCGGGTGGCAGCCACTCAATTTGTCCCTTTCACATTGATGTCTCTCTTTCTCTCTCTCTTCCTCCAACTCTATCTGAACAAAAAATGGAAAAATGTCCTCAGGTGAGGATAAAAAAAAAGAGAGAGAGAGAGAAAGCAACTCATATATATGTTGTTTACAAGAGACCCACCTCACAACAAAAGACTCACATATGTTGAAAGTGAAGGGATGAAAAAAAATGTTCCAAGCATACTGAAAGGAAAAAAAAAGCTTGCTCTGGCCAGTTTGGCTCAGTGGTTGAGCATCGGCCTGCGGACCAGAGAATCCTGGGTTCAGTTCCCGCTAGGGGCACATACCACACACACAAAAAAAGTTCATATGAAACCAAAAAAGACCCTAAACAGCCACAGCAATCTTGAAAAGGAAGGACAAAGTAAGTGGGATCACAATATTGAATATCAGGTTATACTACAAAGCTAATGTAATCAAAACAGCCTGGTACTGGCACAAGAACAGGCATATAGATCAATGGAACAGAACAGAGAACCTAGAAATTGACCCAAACCATTATGTTCAAATAATATTCGACAAAGATGGAAAGAGCATACAATGGAGTAAAGTCAGCCTCTTTAATAAATGGTGTTGGGAAAATTGGACAGCTACATGCAAAAAAATGAAACTAGACCATCAACTTACACCATACACAAAAATAAACTCAAAATGAATAAAAGACTTAAATGTGACCTGTGAATCCATAAAAATCCTAGAAGAAAATGTAGGCAACAAAATTTCAGATGTCATACACAGCAGAATTTTTACTGATACATCACGTAAGGCAACAGAAACAAAGGAAAAAAATGAACACATGGGACTACATCAAACTAAAAAGCTTCTGCACAGCAAAAGAAGCAACCATTAAAACGGAAAGGGAACCCACTGTAT